TTAAGTTTAAAAAATTTGGCTCTCAAAAGAAATTTCAATCGTTGTACTGTTGATATTTGGCTCTGTTGACTAACGAGTTTGCCGACCACTGCCCTAATGTGTTCTCTAGTTCAGGTTCTGCCACGGCCTGGCCTCTCTGACATGATAAATGGTGACGCTCCTCATTTGCTCCAGTTCGACTTCTCCATCCTTGGGGATGTGGTCCCATTCACTTCCTTGTCCTAGAGGGACCATGACTCTGCCGCAGGGAGGAGAAGCTCTTGGGTGACCGGAGGGCCATGTGAGTTAGGTCCTCCCGTCAGAAGCTTCCTTCTGTCCCCGGCTTTGTGTTTGCACACAAACCCCAGCCGCAGACCTTTGCCCGCTCCGCTGCCTGCTGGCGTATCTGCGAGCCCAGTCTCCATCCATTACAGTCGGTCCTGCTTTGAGGCCTGCATAGTGGCTACCTCGTTTCCGAAAGCCTCCCTGGCCCAGGGCTGTAAACAGCTCTTCCTGCTCCATTCCCACACCCCGGTGAGTCCTGCTGGAGCCGTCATCGCGCTGTCCCTTGTCCCAGTGTTATCTCCGTCTCCCCACGGTGCTCACTCACCTTTGCATGGCCTCATCCTCCTGGCCCTGTGGCTGACAGGGACATGGTGTTCAGTGAATTTGTTCCAGAGGCCTTTGCTGGGCCCTGGGGCATGGGGAGGCTTATCAGAAATGCAGACAACACCAGACAGAAAGGAGCTGAGGGCAATAAAATAACCTATGAGGGTGGGAAATGGCCAGGCAGTGAGAGGCTGCAGGGAGCGTGAAGCTGTGCAAGAGCTTATCCTAATGACCCGAGGTCAAGAAAGGGTCCTCTCCTTCTGACCACAAGAGGTGCTTTTCCAGCGGGAAGGGGAGAGCATCCTGGCCCAGGGCATGGCCACAGGCTGGCATGCAGCCAGGCAGCCCATCACCGAGGAGGCCAACTCCTGCCCTTCGGTTCTTTGAGGTAGAAACACCCTTTCCTGAAATACATGCTCCAAATACCCATCCTCCCCGTCCCTCTTCTCTCTCCTCTTCCTTCATCATTTCCCTCATCACCAACCTGTCAAACCCACAGAAGGTTCAAAAGGTGCTGAGGAATCGGGCTGAGTCATATGGTGGGGAAGGGGATGGGCTTGTCAGCTATGCGTCGTAAAGCTCTGAGCCCCAGTTTCCTCACTTGGAGCTGAGGGAGTGATCTTTCCTTTGGGTATTTCAAGGGCAGCCAGAGCTGAAGGTCGAACTTGTCAGGGGCTGTGCTCTGGCAGGTGCTCTGCAGTGGGGTTTGCTCCCGAGGATGGTGGTAAAGGTCTGTTTCCTAAGAGAACCTCCATTCCTAGGCCCCTGACAGTGCAGG